TTTTCTTGAAATAATAAAGCATAATACGATGAAATTGTTGTGTATCTTCTTCCATCTTCAGTATTAAAATAGCTGCACAAAAATCCACGCTGATGTGACAGCTGTCACTATACAGTCTAACACGATTGTTTCGAATGAAGTTAAAGAAAACTAAGTACCACTAGAGCCATCTTATGGGGAAAAACAAAGGAACTTTTTGACCAACCCAATATTTTAGTTCTTGACCATGCCCTCACTCACCTCCTCCCTACTCCCACCACCAGCATATAACAGCTGCGAACGTTTTAGCTTGGTTACTGTGTGGCCTTGGCTGTCAGGGGCTTCCTTCCTTGAGTTCTCACCCTGCGAGGCAAGGCTATTCTTACCCCCACTTCGCAGATAAGCAAATCTAGCTCAGAAGCAAGGCTGCAGGATTGTACAACTCCAAGAGATTCTACTCACAGTGAGCTCTGTAGACGTGGCTGCTCCGCGGACCGCAACTCCACACCACGCTCTGCAGCCTTGGTGGGCGTCGGGGGCGGGGGGCAGTTAGTAAGCAAAGCCCACCTCTCACGCTTTGTTTATGACAGGCAGTTAGGGAAAAACATGAAGAACTCTTGGTATTAACCACGAGATTATTCTGGGATCTCCTCTATCTGTGTCCTCTCTACTCCTTTTCAAATGTTTTTATTTCTTTTCCATTCCCCAAAGCCCTCAGTGGCAGGCTGAGATAAGTTAGGGTGCGCACCAGCGGTAGGAAAGGAAAGAAAGCAGGGGGTACAGTTATACCCGATCGATCGCCTCTCTCCCTTGGAGCGCACTAGATCCGCAGCGACACAGGGAACAACAGTTTCCTCTGAGAAAGGCCCGAACCCCACTTAGCCGCTGAGTCACCCCGGCAAACGAGGGAAGAGCCACACTAGGCAAGTGGGAGACGCTGAGATGCGGTCTCGCCAAAAACCCTACCGCTGGCGCGGTGATTCACAAGTTGGGGTGTCGAGGGGATACTCACAAACTTGGAATTTACCCCGGAAGAGTGAAACCTTCGTTCCCTCATCGGGCTTCTCAACTTTTAAGACCTTCACCTGTCAGCCAAGGCCGCAAAACACCAGGCTCTGGAAACCAGCGCGCAAGCGTCCAGCAGGCCCAGGACCAGCCGGGAACTGAGAACCGCCGCCTAACGGGCAGAGCGCACTCACTTCCCGGCCCGCGCGAGGCGGCTGTTTGAAAAGCACCAGGACTTTGTGTCGGAGATTCGTCTGCTGCACTTACCGCGTTGGCCCAAGCGGCCAGGAGCCTGGTGGGGTGCTCTGCAGGGGCGCTGGCGGTGCGGTCTTTACCCTCCAGCGCTCCCGAGTCAGTGTTTCGGGCGCGCTCTCTTCCTTCCTGAAGCCAAGGCGCCCTTGTTCCCCCTCGGAGGGCACGCACTCTGCTGCCCTGCATCTCCTGGAAGGGGGCTTCGACATGCCTCTGGTGCCCCCCCCCCCCCACACACACACCTTTTTGTAGCTACAACCCAGGGGACGGGCTGGCTATGAGTGCCGCCAGACTGTGACAGTCAGAGAGACTGTTCGGTTCGGGGCAGACTGCGCAGGCTACCGCACACCCCCAGTCTTTTTGAAAAGTTAGCCTATTTGTCCAGGAGCTTTGGCCTGAGGGGTCGGCTTCTGGTGTAGCACACACATAACTGGGACCTGTGCCGGGGCCTTCAGGGACACCAGAAACACCATCTGGCACTCTCTCTGACTTCCTACAGGTCGGGAGTATGTCCGGGAAAGGAACTTAGAATCTTGTCTGGAGCCCTGATTTCTGCGACTGTCTTCCAAGAGACACCTCCAGGTCTCCTGGTCCCGTGGCTTGTGTTTAAAAGCTGCTGAGGGTCTGGCTTCTAATCAGCCTGAATCTAGATGCTGACTGAGATCAACCCCATTGGGACACTCACAGGTCTTCGCACACACTCACTGCTGGGAACCCCTAGAAGATAAAACAGGCTGCTTGGACAGTCACGGGAGTTGAAGAGACAGCCAAGAGCTAGGGCAGCAGCTGGACGGGAAGGTTCATCTCCTACATGAGGCCGCTCCTTCAAGTCTGGGAGAGGCGGCTGTTTCGTGTGGCCTGGAGACCAACACAGAGTCAAGCAAAATGAGGAAACAGGAATATATTCCAACCCACTCGCCACCCCACCCCCAAAACCTTAATGAAACAGAGAAAATACGAAAATAAAGCAGAAGAGCAAAGTGAGTCTGTACTTTTTATCTCCTCCCTTTTTTTCCCTTCCACTCAAAACTCTGCTTTGACTCATACCGGTCATCAGTTTGTCCCCAGGAGCACCCTGGGGCCCCCTGCGGACCCCTCTGTTCTATTAGCACTCTGTGTCATTCCAGGAATTGCTTTACTCCTGCTTTCTTGTGGTTTGGGATCGAGTAGGCAGATATCCAGCTGGCCACCTGACTAGAACCCAGTTACTTTCTGGTGGAGGTGGGCGTGGGAGGGTGAGGGAAGGACAGGGAGACATATTCCTCCATAGCCTGATCAGTTACCAAGCGCAGAGGTGGAGAGAGAAACTCTTGTGTCCCTCGCTACGTGTACAAGAGTGCATGAAGGAGGCAAAGGCAGGCGGACGCGCTCACCGGACCCTTAATCCAGAGGGAAGGGCTGGTCCCGCAGCACCTCCCCATGTGAGCTCCTGTGTCTCTCATGTCTTCTAGACTTTGGAAGTCTAGTGCCTCCAGACTTTGGTTTGGGTTGCTCTCCTTGCTCGGAATGTCTTTTCCCTCCTCTCTGACTCTCTACTTATCTTTCAAGCCTCAGGCATCTGCTACTTTAGGTCGACTCCCTCCCTTTGTCTATTACTGGCCCCAACACGCTCACTCTGTGAGGTGCCATAGCAACTGCACTTGTATCTGCTCATGTGTTTGTCTTTTCTAACAACTTGCAGGCTTATTCATCTTTATTTCATTCCTAGATTGTTTGGCTTTTAACAGTCAATAAATGTTTATTAAATACACAAATTGAGTGGAGGTTTAAGATGCAAGTAAGCTGAAAGCTAACCTTGCGAAACCCTAGTCCAGTCTTATGACTACAGCCGCCTCCGGGCATTTAACTTCTCTATTCATTGTTTCTGGCTGTGCGGGTGCCATTTGCCTAAGGGCCGGGATCAGGCTGAACAATTACAAAGAGATTTTTTAATGTTATGCTAATATTAGCCAGCATATATTCAGTGATTACAATGTCCCAGGTGCTGTTCTAAGCATGCTGCATATATTAATCATTTAATTCTCACAACAATTCTGTAACATAATCATCTCTGTTTGACAGATGAGGAAATTGAGACCTAAAGAGTTGAAGTGAAATACCAAGGACATACAGCAAGTTGAAGATCTGGCTCCAGAATTCATACTCCCAATTGCTATGCCTCTCAGTGAGAAAGACAGACATGGCTGAACCTTAATAACCTCAGGCTGATTCTGAGTTTGAAAGGTGGACCTGGGTCACAGTGAAGAGTACATACTGCTTTCTGTTTCTTTATCTGTCATCCCATCATTTAATTAGGCTCATCTTCACCTTGCACAAAACTCTTATACATACACACCCTGGCCACCACCACCACCTCTTCACAAGTATTTTTATTTTACCCTTTTCTGAATGAACAGGGTTCCCGCTGTAAGCTGGCTGGAATAACGCCAGTGATTTATGCAGGCCTGATGGAATGCAGTTGCTCGGACTATAAAAGTAGATGGCACATAAATTCGTGCAGCCTGGAAGGGACAGAGCTAAACTATTGCTTTTCTTTCCACAACAAATCTCTAAAGGGAGGACTGTCTCCTCTAAGCTCTTCAGTTCGTAGGAAAAGTAGATCCTTTGGGGAAAACTTAGTTCTTATGCTGGGAGGTAGGGTAGTCTCCTCTGAAGTTTGCTGGAGTCTCTGTTGGAGCCACAGAGTAGCCACGGCTGAGCTCTGGGCTCATTACACAGTGAAGCCAAAGCAAAAAGGAAGAACTTTTCCAAAAAGCTGTGAAACCTAATTACATTCTGTTGAAAGATCATAAAATGAAAGAGGGACTTATGAATATAGGTATCTCAAAAAATGCTAAGGCTTCCCAGGGTGGCTACATGAACACCCATATTTTGCAGATCTTAAAAATCAACTGAGCCTGCATATTTTTAAAGAACTCCGTGGAGATTTTGAACACTTTGACATATTTTCACATGCAGATATTTCCATAACTACTGTCAGGAAAAAAGGGAAGATATTTATACAGTAGTTATGGTAGCAAAGCATTTAGACTGAAATATCTATATGGTTTTTATTTCAGGGACACAGGATCCCGAAATAGACTTTATTGGAGAGAGAGGGAAAATAGGTTTTTTTTCTGTAGATGTCTTTAGGAATGGAAGATGCATCTTATAGTTTTACTAGGAGTTCAGCTTGGAGGTGAAGTAACTAAAGTTTTAATAAGCAGTATGCATTCTGTGAAGATTAGTTTGAATTTAATGATTGTGACCAAAATGGCCAAAAGCAACAAGAGTCAGAAAACAAGTGGCCCCCAAAGGCTTAAAAAAAAAAATTAAGATTTAGCCCTGGCTGGTGTGGCTCAGTGGATTGAGCAGAGTCTGCAAACTAAGGGGTCACCAGTTCAATTCCGAGTAAGGGCACATGCCTGGGTTGCAGGTCAGGTTCCCAGTGGGGGGGGGGGTGAGAGGCAACCACACATTGATGTTTCTCTCCCTTCCCCTCTAAAAAAATAAATATTAAAATAAAAAGATTCAACTTGCCCAAGTGAAAAATATCAAGTAGTTATTCTTTTGGCAACTTCAAGTGGGAATAAAAAACAAGCAAACAATGGATGTGGGTGAACCTTTCACTTCCCATCACGGCTCCTCCTGGTAAGTGTTGCAGTTCTGGGTGATTCCGTGCTTCTCCTTTATTGTCACTTTCATAAGACTGTGTGTGTGTGTGCACGTGTGTGAAATGTGTATTTCATTATGACCATACATGACATTAACATTTCAAAGTAAAATTGACAGGTAAAAAGATGTTTATTGACACTGACCAAAACACGTACAAGTGTATCTGAAGAACAGGCAGAAAATGTTTTCTGGTTTGTTTCTCACACAGAGACACATACTACTCTGAAGACAGAAGGCGCCAGCTTTCCGTTGTGGAAAATCACACAACTGGCAGCAAGCTTTGCTGAGGGAGCAGATTTTGTCCTTGAAGAACTGCAGGGCAGAGATGCCTGTCGTGAGTGGTCGTGGGTGCTCCCAGGCCTGGCAGAGGCAGGGCCAGATGAAAGAAGTGAGGGCACTACTGCAGTTTCACTATTTACATCGGAATCGACTGTGCTGGGGCCTTGCCTCTGTGCTCTCCTGAAGGATGTGGCTTGAAAAAAACCCAGCATTAAGACTAAGAACGTGAACCTGCAAAGCATGCGGCTCAGGTCAAAGAGCCCAGCTGGGTCCGTGGTAGTGGCCTCCTGCTCAGAACAGTGCCCAGACAGTGCACACTGGTTGCACGGTGATTCACTTGGCGACTGTGACCCATGACCCCAGGAGCAACCCTTTGATGTTCCGAAGAGGAACTAGTGAGAACTGACCAAGGAAAGACCTCTCCCACTTCCTCCTCTGCCTGCGGGGCACTGACGCCACTCTCCACAACCAGCTGCTGGGATCATGAAAGTCTGCCCATCCTGAATATCACTCTTTTCATTCAAATTGCTTCATCCGGGTCTTAAAAAGCATTTCAAAAAACCAGATGACTCAGTAGAAAATGCAATATAGAATTTTAGTCTAGAGTCATAACTTTGAAAACATTTCTGCTTATTTAATTTCTCCTCAAGAAATCTGAAATTAGGTGTGGTAAGTTAACAATTATACAAACAGAGCTGCTTTCAATAATTTAATTATTAGACTCATGCCCCAAAGGGGAACTTGCATGAAATATTAACTATTACTCTTAAAGCAATTTGGACACCGTCACACACACATCAGGAAAGGAAGAAGAGAAATCTCCCCCCAAAACACCAGTGTTCTGTTTTGTTTGGGAAAATGACAACACATTTAGAGGTAAACAATATTTTCTTCGGCTCCATCTCCGTTTTCCCCATTTTGTCTGGTCACTGTCTGTAGATTTAGCTTTGCTTCTGCTGTAAACGTCTGCAGCTCAGGGCCTTGTGGATTCAAGTCGGGAGGAGTCGGGAGCTCAGTCTCAGAGGTGTCCGGATCTGCAACAGACAGACAGCACAGGTCACAGGGGGGTCAGCTGGAGACCCGCAAGGCAGGTGAGCCATGACTCAGTGAGCCGTGAAGAGGCTGGTGAGTCCAGTGAGAAAGAAACAAAATAGGTACCAAATGATTTAGTCAATGTCATTAAGATATATTTGGTTGTCTGTGCAAATGTCTTCTGCAGTTAAAAATAACCTTTGTAAAGCAGTCCTAGGGAACTGTCAAATAAACAGACCTATCTCCATTTGTGGGCTGTGAAAACACTGCTGCTTCAGAGAAAGTGGTACCATTTATTTTTTAAAGGAGTTCAAAATCTTAGAAATACAGTATATACTCTAGCTACACGCAGTCAACTATATTTTCATCTGCATAGCACCTTCTCTCAAATATCTCAAAGTCAGGAATTAACCTCAAGACAAATAACGTATCTGGGATGTCGCTGATGTGGGTAAGGGATGGGGAGAAAGGAACCTAAGGATGGAGCCCCTTCAGCCTCCCCATCATGCAAATCTGTTAACACTACACAAATCACTTAGCAAGAATAGCCAGATTCCTAGAGAAAATTGCTCCAATGTCAACTATGACTAGGTTTTTTTCTTGTTACCTAGCAACAGCAGGGTACTGTCTATTCTTTTTTCCTTCTGGTAAAACCCTCTAATATACAGTTTAAAGGGGAGGCAAAAGGGGGCAGTTGATATGAAGAAAAGAAAGGCTCTCGCTGCAAACCATTTTCTCTGCACTTGTTCCGCTGACCACCCTCCCTGCGGCTTGGCTACATGGCGAGATGGCCAACAGCCAGCCCCAGCGGGAGCGGACTGCGGGGTACGCGTGGAAACACAGGTGCAGAGGACTGCTAACACGCAGGCCCACCTGCTCTTTTTTCCAGTCATTAACAAGAAGTCATTATAATCCCTGCCACATTTTATTCAAAGCCTCCCTTATTTAGATGGATACGCATAACCGCTGACATTCTAATGACAAAAAAACGCTTGTGACTTTCGCCCTCCGGACAAGGATCTTTGGTTGTCAGAGAAAGCAGGAAGCGAGGCCTGGCAGAAATGATGAGAAGCAAAATGTCCTCACAAGGGTCTGTCTCAGGAGATACGGTGCCCTTTGCTACACCTCCTTCTATCACTTCTTCCCATAGGAGGCCGGGCCAATGGGAGAGGGGCAGCCGGGGCCACAGAAGTAGACCAGGTCACCTGGAGGGGCTGACCTGTGTCCCTGAGCCGAGGAGGGCCCCTGGGAGAGGGGACGGAAAGAGGAGGTGGCAAGGAGAGGCTGCGCTCCGCGGCGCAGCTCCAAGGTCAGGTCGCCCACGACTCCAGGTGCCAGTGGGGCACAAAACCTCCTGTTTCCGTTGGGCTGACCTGACTTTACTGACCTCAGTTCCAAAGCCTGCACCTCACAGACTGGGAACTGCCTCACTACAGAACGCGCATCCACTGAAGGTGCCTCTCACCACCCCCGTGAGTAGCCTGCCTTCTCCGGGACTGTTCCAGGGCTTGCTGCCCTCATTTAATCAGGTAAACACAAAACCCCCAGGCCATGACCTCACTATCAGAGCAATATAAATCAACCCAGAATGTTCTACGTCCTATTTCACCACATTCGGAGACAGAGTATGCCTGTGTGGTCACAACACGCTTCCACAATTTCAACTCCTTTCCCCGGCCACTGAATGAAGAAGGCCATTTCACCTCTAAAAACAAATATTTCTAGTTAAACTACTGATGTTAAATATTACACAATTGAAAAAAAGAAAACACACAAACCTCAAAGTTTCCATCTAGCTGACGCCGGCAGGTTGGGGGAGAGTTCACCTAGGACTAAATGCTGCCTCCCAGCCAGCAGAAAGTCCAGCCAGGGCACCAGCAATACTACCCGGAGAGTGAACAATCACCCACAGAATGCGGCCGTTGGGAGGTGATTACTGACAAACGTGACAAGGCCAGGCACCGTGGAAGCCTTTAATCCATGTCAGTTTCCTTCCTCTGGCTTTGAAACCTTTAGCAAAGAATCTAAAGTACTGGTGTGTCTAGGTATCTGGGAAGTCCCCTTAACGGTTTCAAGAAAAGACTTGTTCAAAAAGAGCCAAAGAATCAAACATATATCAGAAAGAATTCTTTTATCTGAAGTTAAATTGTAGGCCCTGATTCAGGAAGATAGAAAGCCAAGAATGAATGGGGGGGTAGGGTAATTTATGGGTGCATGCGTGTGTTGTAAGGGGGTATGTGAGTTTAAGCTGAATTTTCTCAAATAAGAATAAAAATACATCTGTAGGCAAGAGCTGGAAGGACCCCAGAGTCGACGGCCCCCGTTGCAGCCCCAGATGTCTGAGTAGGGGTGGCTGTGGCGTGTCACCTGAGGGGAACTCAATTTCCTTCTCTGTGTCCCTTCTTGGTTTCTACCTGAACCATTAAGGCAAGGTCAGACAGCCTGTCTTTGAAATTAAAACCCATTCCGTGATTTCTGATTTTATTACTTCGCTTCAACCCCCAAAGAACTCCAGCACAGCAATTGTATATTTCTCAAGGTCAGCCACCTTTTTCCACACTTTTTACCCCAGGGAGTTGAGTCATTACACAGAACCCTAAGCTCAAAAACCATTTGTTAAAATAAAACCTCACCAATTCAGAAAGCAGGATTCTTGGGGAATAAAGTTAACCATCCAATATGATTTGTGATCAAAATGCCTGCAATCTGCTGGACACCGAAATAGAATACCTAATTTTTAAAATAGCAAATAAATATTAATGCAATCATAATTTGGCCAACTAAAAACCAAATGCTAATAAAATGAAACAGAACTTCAAAGTATAGAGAACTTTTCAATCGAGTGTCTCAGTACAACTTTCCCTCTTAGTTGACACAAAAGGGACAGGAAACCATCTGGAGATGCGGCAGGTGAGCGCTGCCGTCCTTCAAACAAAGACAAACAAAATGAAACACAGAAAAGCCCAAATCCTGGTTAAACCGAGTGGAGAGGCAGGATCTCGATGCAGGGGTTTTTTAATTTTTTCTAGTTACCTGAACTTTTATTCATATCCTAAAACTTCATCCTTTGTGAGAAATTTCCCAACTCAGACCACTGTGCAGTCCAAGTCTTCCGAACCCTCTCGCACTGGGAGGCCGAGGCAGTTCCCTAGAACCTCCCCGTTTTCAGCCCCTCCTTGCAACCTTTTCGTTGACATTTGCATTTGCCATTTTTGCACTTTCCTCTGCTCGCCAATTCCTGGAACATCAAACTGTCAGGGGAGTGAGCCCAGGGTCTGGGATGACACACAACCCTGGACAGTGGTCCCTGAAAAGCTGACACCAGCAGGAGGTAACGCTGGCCTCCCTTCATCGGCTGGCTGCCACCCTTACTCACCGGAACCAACTGAATCATTGGTTATTTTCAAGACCAGATGCTAAACTCAAAGTGTAAGATGCCACCATGTGCCATGTTAAAAATGAACAAAGTGCCTCCTAAACTGAGGGGTGAATGAAGTCTTTTAAACCACAAGGTAAAACGTAAACTTGGGCGACTCACTTCCCTTCCTCGGGCTTCGGTTCATGGGGGATCCGCCTGGAATCCGCATGCAGGCCTCTCAAGCGTCTTCTATAGCTCGAGAATTTCTCCATCTGTGTTTGGCTCAGTGCCTCACCGAATAACATTCAAGAGGTGCAACAAATGCATGCATTTTTCAACTGCTTTTTACTTATTTGTCAAGAAGTTCACATTTATTGCCTTCAGTTGCATTTAAAATGTTTTTAGAGTAATTTCCAGACACATGCCCCATCCGTCTACCTTCACCCATCTGAGTGGAGCCTGTGTGCGACCCCAAGGGCAGGACTTGTAAAGCTACCTCATGAGCGGAAGTCCGCTGCCCAGACCTGCACTTGATCTTTCCTCTATGAACAGCCTCCTTCAGGGTAACCTGTCATAAAGAACAGGTTTGTGACAAGTCAGAAAGGGTTGTCTATCATTTAAAAATATTTCATTAATGCAGTCTTTGCCTTAGTCTGCACTGTTTGAACAGAAAAGCATTTTAAATCATGATAACTTTTAAGCAAAAGCTTTACTGAAATTTAAAAGCTCCAGTATAATCTTCATTATGAAAATCAACTCCCAAGGTCTGAATTGAGCTCCACAGTGGGTCCAGGGACCAGGCACCCAGCAGCCCAGTGCAACCAAAAGTATGTTGAGGGCACCGTTGAGATTGTGGGTGATGCCTCATTCAGCCACCTCTTATCCTGTTCCCTTCTCCTCAACAAAACTCACAAAACAGAGGTTCGTGCCTGCTGGGTCTTGGCTCTGTTCTCGTTTATTTTAATGAAGCATACGGACTTATGCTCATTACTGTATCCCCTGCGCATGTTCCTAAAATCCAAATTCACACTCTCCTAAAATAACCCTACCTCCAAAAAATTTTGTTATTAACGTTCCAAGCCTGCAAAATAAGTGTATTCCCTATTTAATGATGGATTCATGCTTATACTGTGAAACACGTTAAAAATCGTTTCCTGATGGCATAACTGGCAATCACTGTTTTTCCTCGGGAGCATTAATGCACAGCATTTTCCTTCTAATGGAAAACACTTATTGTAGAAGGCTTGCGGTGTCCTCAGAGCAGAAGAAAATTGGTCTCTGTCACTCGTTTTGCTCAACTTCATTTTCCACAGTGAGCCCCAAAGAGGATGAGAGCCTGTGGCACAAAACCCACTCTGAGGCTGATGCCTCGGCCCGTGACCCGGATGAGGGCTACGGTTGCCTTCACAGTCCCTCATGTACCAATGTTACACCTGGAGCAAACTAGCCAAACTGTGCTCTGGTGTGTGTGTGTGTGGGGCACACATGTGTGTGGTGTGCATGTGTAAGTTTGCAGTATAAGAAAGAAAACTATTAGTTTTTAAGCTGTGACTTATTAGAGGTGCACTTTCTTTTATCAGTAACGTGCTCAGAATAACCTATGTTGGTTGCACAGGTAATGCTGACCAGAAACACAGCAACTGA